TCTAACGAACAGTTATTCATTGTTTAGTGTCGTTTAGTTTAGTTTAGTTCTTGTCTTGCTTGATAGTAGTTGACCCCTTGACGCGTCACCATACAACCATATGATGATAAGGATGACAATAGTATACAGCTTAAATGCATATATTCATTTTACTTCTTCCGTTCGAACGCTGACGAGGGAGTCATGAACGAATAAAGAATGAAGATATACACATACATATACAAGCACACATATAGACACACACGACAAACTTTTCGTACTCGTAAAGAGACGATGACAGAAAGTTAGTCGACCGGAGCTGTCTTTTGTTTCGAGTATCACGTCTCAATGAAAAAAGATAAGAAAAAAAAAGATTGTTTATTTTTTTTTTGATAATTGAGCACAAACGATCGTTAGTTCGTGACGAATATGTTATATATGTATATATATATATATATGTGTGTATGTGTGTGTGTATATGTGCGATTGCATAAATCAATAAAATCGTTTTGCCAATGGGACAAATGTCAGCTGTGGAAAAAAAAAAAAGTTAAAAGGGTGTGATGAGAGACAATATGGCTGACAAGATTAAACTGCACTTATCCATGTTCCATTAAATGAACACGTTTCTCTCTTATAAATACAAATAAAAAGTTCTTTTATCAAGTTCTTTATTAAATAAACTACATATGATAGTTAATCAATAATAAATAAATATACGATAATAAACAAAGAGTAGAATTTTTATTTATTTTTTTCCTTATAGATGATTGTAAATTATTATCATGAACTATAAAAACTATTCTTATGACTTCAAGAGAAACTTTAATATCATATAAATTAAAACATCGTTCACCGGAATATGTCGCCGGTTTTCTTTCATCAGCAACGAATATTATTCTTACTTATCCTTTAAATAAATTAATTTTTCGACAACAAATTTATCGTCTTAAAACGAATGATGCATATCAACAATTAAAATTCGAAGGTTTAACGATCTTATATCGTGGTATACCATTACCATTATTACAAAAAACACTTTCATTAAGTATTATGTTTGGTACTAATTCACATTATTTACATATATTTCAATCATTTTCAAAAGAAGACCATTGGTATCATCAACCATTTGCATCGGCATTAGCTGGTGTAACCGAAGCTATATTTACACCATTAGAACGAACACAAGTTTTATTACAAACACAAAAATATAATCATTTAATTCGTAATGGTTATCATGCATTTGTTTTAATGTATAAACATTATGGTATTATAGAATATTATCGTGGTTTAACACTTATATTAATACGTAATAGTATTTCAAATGTAATATTTTTTGCTTGTCGACAACCAATTAAAGATATGTTACCAACTGCATCAAGAGATATTCAACATCCATTATATGATTTTATAAGTGGTGGTTTATTAGGTGCATTATTATCAACATTTATTTATCCATTAAATGTTTTAAAAAATGTTCAACAATCGGAACTTGGTGGTAGATATGATCGGCCATTAAAAATATTTCAGTCCGTTTATAAACAACGTGGAAATTCAATAAAAGAATTTTATATTGGTGCTAAATGGAATTTTGTTCGTAGTCTTATATCATGGGGAATTATTAATAGTACATATGAATATTATTTAACAATTCTAAGAAAATCTATTCTTGATAATGATTAAATAATTCGTATCAACAGTATATCGCAAAATTCTGTATTTTTTCAATACAATCAATTAAAATAAAATATTATTTTTTTGTACTTAACGATTAGTAACGATTTCCTGTGTTTGTTTGTTCATGATTATTTTCGGTGTAATACTCTGAAAGAGTTATTAATAAATTGTTAAAATAAATCTTTCCATTAAGATTAAATATTTACAGGGTTAGAAAAAAATATCTTGAAAGGAGGGTACCGCTATATTCTGAAATAGAGTTAATAATGAATTTTATACCAAATGAAAGCCCGTAAAAATGGGGTTTATTGATACTAAATAATAAGAGTTCAGAAACTTTCGCAAAGTCATAAGACGAAAAGAAAGTAGATAGTTTTTGGAAGAATTCAAAAGAGTACTATTCTAGTGATCATAAGACCTTTCTACGATTCAGAACGTGTAGCAAAGAATTTTTGTATCACATTTTGGTCGAACTTTATCTTATAAATAACTTTTTTCACACTTTTAATCAATGGAATTTATTATGTTTAAATATCTTAACATAAAACAGTTTGGCTATCATTTAATCGGTCAATAGAATAGATGAGATGATCAGTAAAAAGGTTAGTTGGTCAGTATTCCGATTATCACTCATTTAAAAAGAGGGTTAAAGAGATTTTGATTTTCACTATGTTTTCTATTAAACTAGCAATTGAAATAAAGTAATTTTATGAAAATGAACTTTAGTACCGGTGATCGTCAAATGCGTTTTTCTGAGATTTTTACTGCGAATCGAGGTGCTCGATATCTCTTTGGACATCTTGTCTCTAAAAATTAGTAAATACTTATTTAAAGCGCGAAAAATACTAGAATTCATTAATATTGTCCTATTTTCATCGATTAAAATCATTTTCATAGTTTTTACTGACCGATTAATCATTTCCCATTTTTACAGGCTTTCATTTGGTATAGAATTCATTATTAATCATATTTGAAAGTATGACAGTACCTTCTATCAAAATATTTTTTCCAGCCTAGGAGACGAGAAAGAGATAACCTATCTATACTTTTCTCTTACTAAATAATCGATGACGAAATTACTGTGTGTTATGTTCAGATTTAATTTTATTCTTCCTATTACTTATATCTGCAGAAATCTTAGAAAATTTATATCACTTTTTTTCCTCATGATGATACTATAAATTTCTGAACTAATTCTAATAATGCTATTAATTTTCTATCATATGTATTGTTCTAACAACAGATTTTGAATTATATATATAATTCAAAAAAAAAAAACTATTAAAATAAGTATAAAAAATATCTGATTAATTTCATTTCGTTGTTTATGAGCATTATTCTTCATAATAACCGTACCATAAGCATAATCTCTTGCAATTTTTTGTATTTCTGCTAATTTATCAAAACTATTACAATTATTTTGATTACATTTAATTAATTCATCTTTCAAATTTAATTCCATTGTATCTGGTGATGTAAGTATAAATTCTTCATGTAATTCTAAATCTGTTCCTGATGAACATTCATGTTTTAATTCTTTAAAATATGACAGACAAACAGGATAATTATTATCATTTGTTTTTGTACATAATTTACTTGTATCATTTGCTATATCATAACAATAAAGTTTATCTGGTGATAGATTAGAATAAAATAATGATTTTAATTCATAAAATGGATTTATTTGATTGTTATATTTATTGAATAATTTTTTTATTTCATCTAATGCACATTCATTATCAGTTGTACAATAAATATCCGATATAATTTGTGTTTCTTCAATTTTTGGATTAATAATAACTTGATATCTTGTTAAATTTTTTAATGCATATTTATTTATATCATTTTCATTTTTTCTTTCTAGTACATCATCAATTTTTCCAAATGTATAATTAATATATTTTGGATAATTACTTTTTCCAATATAATACGCAGTTATTCGTCCTTTACATATATTTATTGATGTATCATTTAAACATGAATTATGATGAAATGGTTCAATAAAAGGATCGGAATAATTAACTTGAATAGTTGTACAATTTGTTGAACAAAATAATTGTATAGTTGGTAAAATTAAACCAAAAATAATCATAAGTAATAACCATATTTTATTCATTGCCTTTCTTATTATTTATCTAGAATAAATGTGATCGTTAGAAACAAAAAGTGAAGAATAGCAACACGTTTAAACCAGTATTATAGTAGTTATCTTTTACAAGCTATCACGTACATTATTTTCTTTAAATTAATCATTTTATTTTAAATTATTTAAAAAAGAAACAGAAAACAAATAATGCTATTCATATTGTCATGAGTTCCAAGGAAATGAAATAAAAAATATATATGAAACAGGTAATGTATTTTAAGATTTTGGATGGTATTTACAATAGAAAAAAGAAAAATAAAATTTGCGTGTACATAAAATGTGGTTCTACTGAGTACCATCATTTGATATATTTATTTTACTCAACAATATTTGGTATCGGAAGTTTTTCTATGAAGGAATTTTCTATCAGTACAACGAGGACGACTACGACCACAATAATCATTGTTGATAAAAATCCATAGGTAATTATTCAATTGATTTGCGAATTATGCATTGAGAATTGCTGAATTCTCTTGTTTTGATGGATCTTAAAATAATTCAAGTGTCGTTTTTTTTGTCAAATAAATTCATATACTTACATGATGATAATTTCTTATACATTGTATCATTCATTCTTTATTTTTAGTAATGCGAAAGACAATATATATATTTATATATGTATTCATTCATGCATAACATTGACGAAAGACATATTAATATCTAGTTACCATAGTGTCAAAATTTCATTTTCATCTGATACATCTAACAAACAATCCCCTTTTCTCATTACACATTCAGTTATAAGTTACCATATCGAAATAAAATCAGATTGTTACATAGATATACATATCTTCTCATTTGATTGCTAACTAGAATTTTTCTAATAGGCAAATCGTTGATAAATAAATTCGATCAATATATATATATACTAATCTTTATAGGTATACGTGTAACAAAAAACAATTGTTTAAGTTACACGAACACAAAACGAAAAAAACAAATATACAAAAATCACACACATACAATGGCAAAAAAAAAAGAAGACGAAAGAATCGTGTCATAAATAGCAACATCATCATCATCATCAAAGTTTTTCATTTTAAAAGTCTACACAATAGATGATATATATATTTTGTCCATCGTATGTCTTGTTTGACTAGTAAAATAATACGTTATAATGACCACATGATACACATATGTAAATATCTATATGTCCTGATTGAATAATTCATAATGAAGAATAATATACATAAGTTTATCAAAACGGACTCTTTGTTTTTAAATGACGTTTTTGATGTTTTGATAAGTGATCACTTCGCATAAATGCTTTTTGACAAAATGAACAAATATGTTTTTTTTCACCAGTATGTGTTCGTCGATGTCGACTTAATTCATCCGATCGGGCAAATGTTTTATCACAATCCGGCCATGAACATGAAAATGGTTTTTCACCTAAAAAAATAAAAAAAAAATTATTATTACTAAACTATTCGTACAAAAATTAAGTACAAGGTTTATTTGACCTTAAAAAATATTTTACGTTACTACAGAAAAACAAATACACCCACGCCTTCTTTTTTTTTCTCATGACGAAGGAAAAAACCAAATAATCTTACCAGTATGCAAACGAATATGTGCTTTAAGATGTGATGATTTAAAATATGATTTAGTGCAATCAGTATATGGACAAATATAATTTTTCTTTCGAACTGATATTGGTTTAGGTACTGGTATTTGTGATTCTGATGATGATGATGGTTGAATAATAAATGAAGTTTTAGCTACAGGAACATATTCACCATTGACATTAACATAAAGAATATGAAATTGTTGGTTTGATGATGATGATGATGATTGACTATCGTCATTTGAAGTTGAAAATGGAGATGTACATGGTGTTGATGATGATGATTCAGAAGAACATTCATCTGACGGAGATGAAGAAAGTGAATTTGATCGTTTTAATAATGTTAAATTATCGAATGCTGGAAGCGGTGTATGTACTGGTTCACTTATATACTAAAAAAAAATAAATTCATTTATATAAAAAAAAATAAAATTAATCTTACTGGACGAAATTTCGGATGAAGTTTTCTCGGTTTTTCAGGTATCGAACGTATTGAAAGTAATAATTCAGCATCTTGAACGCTAACAGAAGAACACTAAAATAAAAAATTAATAATAATATAAAACAACTTTAATTACATACTGTTGGTTCGCGTTTAAAATCATTCATATTGAAATGATTTGATTGTGAATACATAATTGTATCTATTCCTGGTAAATTTTGTCTCTTATTTGCTTCAAAACTAACTGATGCAATACAAGGTAGTGTTTGAATCATATATGCACTTTTTATATTTTTTTTTGATATATATTCCAATGTACAACTAAGAAATGTGTGTCTGAACTATGTAAGTACACAGCAAAAATAGGCAACTCAAGTACAATCACGCAAGCTACGCGTGATCATATATACAGTCAGGCATTGATCACGCAGTGACGTTGTGTAAAAGAAAGAAAAAAAAATATGCATAAGATCATATTCCATCGTCTATTCGGAACAGAACAGAACACACCCCTTCATGGCAGAGGTGTGCGAAAAAGAAAAAGAAAAAGTGCATATAGCATGCGCTCGCTCTATGATCAGAAAAGATGATGATGATATAACATGCTGACGATGCAAATGCATTGTCATAGAGGAAGAGAAGAAAAAAGAAAAAATTTTGCCCTTTGACATCCGTTTAAATCACGACTTATACATGTGCTTTAAATGGACTTTCGAATCGAAGTGAAAGAAGACGTCTTCTTTATATTATCGTACATATATATGATTTCTATTTCATACGCACACCACTATATGATTTAAACTGAATGTCCTTATCGAACATAGATATTTTTATTGTTTTTAACTTGTCTGAAATAATTAAAAAATTTGTATATTGATTTATTGAATAGTAGACCGATAATATTTTGTTTCGTTCTGATGAAAAAAAGAATCGAATGATATTTTTTTGTCCTTGTAGAAAATAGAATAACAAATAACATTTAAATCGTTTTATCATTGAAATATATCGATTTTATTTATTGTATAAGACACATGACAATATAAAAGTCATGTTTCTTATCGATTTTTTTCTCTCGTAAGGTTAGTAGTACGTATTATATTGTGGACTTTGATCATCGAAGAAGAATCTAAATATATTATTTCTATTAAAGACATTTGATAAATATAGTGACTATAATAAACATGTGTGTTTATCATCCAATCATATGTACTGTCACTTGAAAAGAAGAAAAAAAAAACGAGAAATATCTTTATTGTCTTACAAATGATATATTAGATATCTTTTTTTCTATCTTTAGATGTCCTTTTGGATATACTAAATAAAAGATAAAACTATGAATCAGTATTGTCAGGAGTCAACCAAAAAATGAGTCATCATGAACTTCAAGTATTTTCTCTTCATGTAATAAAATATTAATTTTTATCTTATTAAAATAATATACATTACTATTAAAGCCTATATTTTTCATAGTATAGTAGATAAAACTAGCAATCACATTTATGGAAAGTTATTTTTGTCGTTCTGTTATTGTTTCATATTATCCATGTGAGATAATTTTGAAAATGTATTTTTCATATAACGAATAAATTCGAGTAAAATTTTGAAATTGCACTAACAATTCTATAGAAATTAGTTTTATCTACGCGACTATTTGTCAAATTGATCTCAAAGTTGAACTTGATTTTACAAGATACTACTAATGATATTTTTTCATGTATCTATCATAGATCGCTGGTTTAATAGTTTGGTTATTCCATTGAAACAAGATTTTTATTTGAAAAAATGCTTCTACTGGCGCAACTTTACGAAGTTCAGATTAACAATATGTATATAATCTATTTGAAAATATGAAATATTAAAAAACTCCAGAAACTATTTTTGTTTTCAGATTTATGAACATTTTCTTGACTGTTTGGTTTATAGTACAATCTTTCTTAAAAATCAAATGATGTATAAAGAAACGCATTATTGTTAAGTTTTTGAAGACATACTGGAATCTATGTCAGATATAGACTTTAAGATCTAAAGCATGTTATTAGAGATTTTATACTAATATAAAAGAGAAGACAAACATATTCAATACTTATATTTTTGAAAATGAAAAATCGTGAACAGTGAGAACAAATTCATTGAAAGATTTGTCATTAAAGTAAAATATTTTGAAGTAACAAGAATAACGTAAACAATGTACTAGTTATAATTAAAGTGGTGACAAGCAAAGTATTAGGTAAAAAGAATCAGAACATATTTTTTTGCTTAGAAAGTTTTATTCATAAATATTATGAATGTATAACAGGTATATTGATGATAAAAATAATGTCATGATTGAATTCTTATATCTGACTAAATGTATTCGAAATCTGTTATTAATTTAATTTAAATCAGATACTATCTGGTATTCTTGTAAAAAAATATAACAATCTTCCATTTATATCAAAAGCTTTCCGAATTATTTAGCTCATATGTATGTTTGTTAAATATATATAAAATATCGTTACAAATAATTAGATATATTTATTGCGTAGAAATTATTGTTTGAAATTTTGATTAAAACAGTCAAAAGTTATTTTTACCGTATCTTGCAAGTTATGATAATTCTGTCTTAAATGTATTCAGTTCTTGAAATTTTTCAAAGGTAATAGATATAAATGTATCTGATAACAAAAACATGCTTTTTATTATTTCGTTTTTCTAATGAAACAAACAACAAAGAAAAGTAAAGAGCTTTCGTTTCTTTTGCAATAAAGTCTATTTCAGCATCATATATACGTTTTTTCTTGTTTGCACTTATTTTATCTTGACTAAGTGTACTCTTTCTCTGTAAAACTCAATGTTGGAAAAAACCAACAGAATAAGAGGCGAATGAAGAAAAAAAGAAGCCGAGAATTTTATCATTTTGTACAGGTAACAAGTGAGTGATTTCGAGAAAGAAACTGATGATAACGTTTATAACACTAAAACTGAATGTAAAATTCACATCAGTTTTATAAGCCTCTCCATCCACTTAATTACAATAACTTGATTGTGGTGAGTTTTTGTTAAAATAATTTAGAGATCGAACTATTTTATTTTAAACAGCATGTATCTGATATAAATATGATCAGAATACGAGTATAGAACAGGATAGCAATAGAATCGCTAAATAATTGGTGATTCTATACTAGTGATCTCTGTGTATATACTTAACATAGAGACATTGCTCGTCAGCCTTTTCACTGATCTTTATGAAAACGTACAGAGAATCGACGTAACAGGGAAGGAGTATTATGATCGAGAAAGTCTCGATATCGAAATCATTCTCTTTCGAACGGGTTCCATGATCGATATACATTTAGATGTACAACGTTAACTTACTCGTATAATTCATCTAAGTCACTGGTATGAGCTAGTGATGATAGATTAAATTACAAATCGCTGGTATCAGAGTTTGTTCGATCTCGAGTGAGACACGAACAGATTCATGACAAATATCTTCACATAAACCTCGATCGGATTCTAACCGACCTAAAGAAAACTCGTTGAAATTTTTATTTCCGCAATATAATAGTGCAGAAAATAGCTCGAAAGTTGGTCTACGACATTGTGAGCCGCATCCAGAATCAACTTGTACTAACTATAGATAGTGAAGGAAGTATGTAGAATATTCAATCCAAACTGACAGATCAGCAGAAAGATGTATAGAGAATTCATCTTGAGGTTATGGATGTAGGTGAATGTCGGTGTGAGTTAGATGTGGAGTAAATGGAAAACAGGCTCACACCCACACCCATCTTCAAGATTTTTAATATACAGAGTGATGATGGCTAAATCATCTATACGTTCTCTTCTTGAAAATCTGAAATTCCATATTAAATTGTAACAAACTGGAAGAGAATATAAACCTTAACGCCATTGCACTAAAAAAATGCACAAAAAGGATTGTTCGGCGTTGCCTTCTTCAATATTCTTTGGAATATTCTACATCACAAACACTTATCGAACAATGTAGTGTCTGACATTTTATCTAAATACGTTTTTTAGAATATGTATTTTAAGATCAGTAAGAGTATTGGTTTAGATCGTCATCTCTTCTATTAATCTGACTAATACTCAGACAAGCAGATTATAAATGTAAAATGAATATTATTAACAAAATGCGATAGCGTTGGAATGTATTCTCTATAAATCATGTTGTTGAGATTTGTAATTAAAAAGAGTACTATTAAAAACAACTCACTTGACTAATTAACGCACACAATTATAATCAGAGAGTCTGACGGACGAATTGCTTCTATTAAAATTCAGTCATCATGTGAATGTTAAAAACGAATTTTATTCTTTTTATAGAGTATTTATTGTGTTTGTTACTTGAAAATATTCTTTTATATAAACATGGCCGCAAATGGAAATGTTGATCTACTACAGTATACACGTGTATCGGATATTGTTAAAGAACCGCAAAAGATGCTCATGCCGATCGAAGGGTACGAAGAAACGCCAATAATACCATTGGAAGAAGCTGTTGCACCACTTGTTTCGATTTTACCTAAAGTTCAAAATTATGTTTATGTGGCGAAACAACGATGTGAATCCATACCTGCGGATGATTTGACACAGAATGAATCAGCTTCAATCATGCTTTACTCAATGGAATGGGAACCACATGAACAATGCTTATATTTTACCCTGAATACAACTCTCCGCACTGAAGATAGAAAAAAATTAAAACCATGGTTCTCGTATTTGAAACTTATTCTTACAGCACTCGAAAAATTACCATCCACACGATGCAACGTGTATCGTGGAGTGAATTTAGATTTAAGTAAACAATACACTGAAGGAAAAGAATTTGTCTGGTGGGGATTTTCTTCATGTACAACATCGATGGGAGTACTTGAAAATGAACAATTTCTAGGCAAAACTGGCGAAAGAACAATGTTTACTATCGAATGTGATAGTGGCAAAGATATCAGTCGTCATTCGTATTTTCAATCGGAGCAAGAAGTTCTTCTCCTAGCTGCTCGACAATTTATTGTAGTATCTTGTCTTCGACCAGCGCCAGGCCTTCATATGATCCAATTAAAAGAAATAAAGCCTCCGATTACTCTTTTACAACCAGTTACGAATCAATCTATGCAGATTAAACCAACACCGAGTAAGAGAGAAACTATTTGATCAGTTGCAATATAAAATGTTAGATATCGATCAATTTTTTAGAAAACTACTTACGAATCTTAAAATTACGATTCTAGCTTACTTTTCAACGAGTACACTTTTATAAGATCTCTGGCTAAAT